ACACACACAGAAAACCCCTCGTCAATATGCGTTTTCTGCATTGCATAGCTGCAAAAAACGCATAAAAACAGTCAAATAGTTATTCTTTATGCGCAAACCAAGAGTACCACGCCCGCCCGAGCCATGGTATTTTTAGTATCGCATGTTTTTGGTGCTGCTAGCATGTCCCCACGTGCTGGACACAACTATGCTAAGCCCTTCGACCCTAGGCTCAGTCCTCTAATCAGCAATCATCGTATGTTCGATTTAGATGCGCCACCTCTTCTGAGGTTCCAGAGTGGTCGTTTGTTTTCTCGCATGCACCGCTGTCGTAGTGCGTGGCATTTTATCTATCATCAACAAGGCGAGAACACTCTCAACCCACCGGATTTTATTTTCTCGCACGGGCTTTTTCATGTGCATAATAAAAGCATGCAAAAACAACTGTTTTGTTGGGATTTGCTTTCTCATCGATTCGCTTGTCCTCGATATGTCATTAATGCATAGGATAGATGTTGTGATTGCGAACGATGAGGGCGATTATCGGTGTTCAGTGAAGCGATCGCAACATATCACTCATCGAACTATACGATTAACGGTCAAAGAGCCAGCTATCAAACTTTATGCCACTGACGTGAGCTTTCCTTATCATTTCTTAACTAGTGATTCAGTGCAGCTCGCTGCAACTGTTCCCAAAAATTGAGGCGTAAACAAAAAGAGATCAACTAACTGTCATTTGGAACACATCTTTAAACGTCCATTTGCTAGAATTTTAGCCTTAGCGCGTCCTGTAACATACACTAGCAGTACAAGTTGTTACAGATGGCAAATGGCTAACTGCATATTAAATTGCTACGGACTTTGTTCGGCCAGCTAAATTCAATTGCAGTTTTTCTTTAATTGAACCTGCAACTGCATTAGTGACAGAAATCGTTAATTTATCTTTTGGCCGGTTTTTATGCTTTTTTGCACATATGCAAATGCAAAAACGAATATTGGTAAAAGGCTGGGATGCTGAAATTTTAAAGGGATATTCCCTCATCCTTGTAGTATTTCATCTCAAACACAACCCCCAGACATGTGTGGTAGGCAAGTACGGGCGCGTAGGAATTTTTGCATGAAAACTGCTCGTTGAACAGCAAGATCATTTTCGCTGATGAGCGACTGCCGAAAATGATCTTGCAGTTCAGTGAGCAGTTTTTTATGCGTTTTTGCTGTGCAGCGCTATAGCAGCGCTATAGCGCTGCTACAGCCAGCAAA